TACCTAGATTGCGCTAGCACATGTGGAAACTTCAGTCACATTTATTTGTCCCTCTCCATGATTCTGCCCACAGTATGAAGATGGTTGACCCACTCAGACAGCATCTAGAATTAAACAGTGTGCTTCAGAAGTCCTCCCAAAGCAAGACTGGGTAATGTCTTGCTTCACTGCAGTCCTTTGCTGTAACTTCTTAATGTCACATTACTCAAAAGACTTTTTCTCCTCAAACAGTTCTCACACAGGAATAAAATAATCAGTCTTTCATTTTACTTCAGGCCTATCATCAATGAAGAAGATACTTTTTCTTTCAAATGCCAAATATTTAAAATAAAAATAATTACCATTTACAAATAAATTTAAGATCTAGTTCACTACGAGAAGTCAGGCCATGCTGTTTCATGTCAGTTATGTCTCTAACACAATTTTCTGTGGAAGTGAACTTCAAGGGAGATGCAGCCCAAAGCTGAATGGGGGTATTTCTGAGTTTATACTTTGCATAGGAAACTTCTAAAGAGATGCAAAGGCTTTTTGCATTCAAATTCTCTATATTGCTATACCATGCAGCCATATTACACAGCACACATTTAGAGTAACTCAAAGTTTTGAGCTGGCCACAAAAAAATGATACATCACTAATATCTGATGATTACAAGAGCAGTTCTTTAATTTTCAGCTATTACCAAGGAAAATTCCTTTCACAGGATAGTGAAGGCCAGAGCCTCAATGCCAGAATGAGACCAACCCAGACAGTGAAAGAAAGGCAACATGTAGAAAGCATACTCTTAAGATACAGACAGTTCAGACATAAACAGTTCATATATGGTGTGAGCTCATCCAGGATGTGGGAACTGCTTATTGCTGAAGTAATTATTGCTTTATTCCTTTGCAAAATTGAGGAAGAATCACCATAAGTAATTCAGAAAAAGAAGTGTTTTCCTCTGGAATGTGGTGGTACCAAATAACCCTCTAGCAGAGACACTCAGAGAGAAAAAAATAATCTTACATACTTTTGCCTTTTAAGGGCTATAAAAATTGTAGCAGTATGATAAGATACAGTACTTTCATTTAAATAATAACTATGTAAAACCTAAATTGACGTAAAAATTTCCAACTCGTTTACTGAAAGCATGGTCAACACTGTTCTTGGGAGTTGCTATAAATAGATTACAATCATGCAATTTAAGACCAGATTTTGGAATGTGGATCACACAGTTGTGTCACCAAGAGCAGGCCATTGTCCTGTTCCTACCAGCAAGAATGCAGCTATCAAGAACATTTCACGCTCAGATCAACTGTGCATTTAAATATCACTTGCTTTCAACACCCACTGAATAAAAATAGAAAGGGACAACAGAGAAAGCTAAAAAAGCAGAGAGTAATTTAATGATGTATTTTTAAGCTGCTGGCCCTCCCCTGTATTTCCTGCACCATCTGTATCAGTGCAAACTTCAGCACCAACTTCAACAAAGCCAGAACTTAATCCACAGAGTTCATTCAAGAATTTTAAAAGTGAAGGGTAAAACGCAAGCTCAGTGGCCACAACTAAAGAAATAAATAGCAAGGAAGAATACTGTCTGCCTGAATCCTAGCATGTGTTTTATCTCCATTAACTCCCCTACCTTAAAGAGACTTGTGCCAACTTTCTTTTAAAGGGTAATTCACAGTCACTTAACCTCTTTGCCTCAGACTTCAGCATCTGTATAAAATGGGGAAACAAAAGCCTATTATCTCATGGAAATAATATAAGGATGCTTAAAAACATGCTACTTAGTAGTATCTGTTCTGCATATTAACTTATATGTGCCTTCATAAACTTTTTCCCCTTCAATATTTTTAATTTCACAACAAACTATAAATTCACATTTTAAAATGTCTCCTCCCTGGAGATATTCAAAGCTGTCTGGAGACAACGCTGGAGACTAATGTGCTCTGGGTGACCCTGCTTGAGCAGGGAGGTTGTACCAGATGATCCCCAGCCTCAACCATTTTGTGATACTGTAACACATAGTCTAAACTGTGTTAGGAGCAAATACGAGAAATGTCAAGAAATATAAATGATACTGAATTTTCTCTTAAGAGGTAACCTTTCCCTTTGAGACTTTGAGGAAGGTAGTATAAACTGTTCAAGACTACCTAGTGTAGTACATAAACAGCTTAAACATTTAAACTCCTTTTTTTCTCCCCTTCATGTTCTGGATAGCATGGCTTTTGGATGTTGAAAGGAAACTCACAAAAGCATCACTCGTTTAAAATGTATAAAATCCATACATCTATCTTCTGAAAAGAAAAATATGCTTCTTGTACACTGTGTAAACTACATAGCTCTAAGGAAAACAGGAAAGTATAATGTTATTTCCCATATGCCACACCAGTTAACACAGAAGTCAAACTTACTGTAATAACACATCTGTGTTGCTGAAGTGTCCATTACACTTTGTAACTTGCACAGAGACACATATAAACACATGTAAAAAATGTGTGCTACGTGGATCTGAACCAAAGCAATTTCTGAAACTCTCATCAATTATTTCTTCCATCCATATGCACACACAGACAACTGGCATGCCAGTTTTAGCATATGACAGCAGCGTATCTACTTGTAAGACAGCACACTGAGAATCACCAACAGAAGGCTGGGTGTGTGCCCAGGAGAGTGAAGATTTCCTATAAAACTGAAGATTTTCTACATTTACTGAACAACTAATGCATACTATCCATAGTATAAGGGATAGTAACAGAAGATGCTACTAGGTTCAAGCAATCTGCAGTAACAACACAACTTTGACAAACTCCGCTGCAGTGCTGACAAACTATTTTGATGGCTGGCAAAACACTTAAAGAAGGCACTGCAGCTCATGACAGGATGTATGCTGTAAAACAAATCCATTGCAGATTACAAAACACAGCTTTGGCTCCTCATACTCTGCAACACACTCCTGTCAGCATTTTAATCAGTATAATCCCCTGTTTTGACATATCTCTCTGGTTATAGTTTTTTTAAGGAATTTTATATAGCTAATACAGATATTTACATTTTTCCTTGCTTATTTTACCCACACAAAACCATATTAAAAAAAGTCTTAAAAAGAATCTGAGAACACACAACCCAGCCCCATTTTATCTCTTTGGCCTATCACCCTCTCAAAAAAGGAATTTACGTTGATTTAATCTCTTTGTAAGTGACAGGTTATATTTTGTAGAGCTCTAAATAGACAATTCACTGGTAGGTTATTGGAAAAGATTTTACTGGTCTGAAGAGAGTGTGTTCAGAAGATCAGATTTTTACGTAAATGCTGATAAAAATTCAGTAGTGTTGAAGAGTGCAGATGACTAATCCTCTACAGGTGAATCATTCAGTGATTACTATGCTCATGTTGATAACAATCCTATCAATTAACATTTAACAAGCAGAGCTCTCAAAAACAGAAAGTATCAACAGAAATTAAACTACTGGCAAAAGCAGAAGAAAGCATCATGAAAAGTAAAATTACAGGCTATTTTGAATAGTTCTGTTAACCAGCTGAGGTTTCTGAAGCACTGATGAGTTACTCGTTTCCTCCTTTGCTGATCTGCGAAACAGCTCTGCATAACATCCCATAGAAATCAGCTTGCTGGTTCAAGACACCCAGAAAACTATACCAGCTAGTCAAACAACAGTCTACTGGCTGACAAAAGGAAAATCAGATTGGATAAAATTCAGCTAAACTCATGCCTTCATTAATACCAACCCACATCCAGTGAAATTCAGGTACTTCTACTTCCTCTTGCAAGTAGAAATCCATATGCTTAACACAAATTGTAAGGGTCATTGGCAAAGAATTTGGGATAAAGTGCCCTTTGTAAAATTTAATTTATTTTCATTTCATTTTTATGTGGAAGACATGTTATTAAAAGTTTTAAATCTAAAAATTAATGACAGATGCTTATTTAAGTAGTCAAGGCTGCTGGTGGTACAATGCCTATACTGACAAGCTATATGAGAAGACATCTGTATCAGCTAGCCTCATGTTTCCTTAAACTTGAGTGTGTTTTCCTCTCTTATAACTGACCCAAGATTATAACAAATGCTTCCAGGTCAGTAAAATATTCTCATTTACTGATTTTGCAAAGCATTTCTAATTTAAAACTATTTAACTTAAATCATGATACTTCCCCAACCCATTATCTGCAGATTCGAGAAATCCCAATTTTGGAAGTCAATTTTTATGTTTGAAATAGTGACCTAAGGGTTTTATTTCACGCTAAAGCACTGTACTGTCATTGTTCAAAACTGATGTCTGCAACCCCTGATTTATAGTTAAATGGAAACATGAAAAAAGAAAGAATCAACTCACAGTTAGTTGAAACATGGCAGTTATGTGATGTCAAGCACAGGTGTGTGTTATGTGAATCAGGAAAGCAAGGTACTTAAATCTTCAGAAGCTGATTCTTGCATCCCATTATGCAAGATTTCACTCTTACCACTGATGCTTGCAAGGTTTTTTCTGAGGTATTCCTCACCTACCTGATTGACTCTATCATCATCTTGAATCTAATGATTTTATGTCACCTAAACAGGAATAAACAGAGGCCTCGAACTAAAATTACTTTTATTTCCTAAACTCAAATATTTACAAGTGGTCAAATATGTCTGTATAGTCAAGGAAAGGAACTTCTAGACAATGCTCACTTCCCGTAAAATGTAGCTGCTTAAGTGATCCTGGCATAAAAAGCACTGGCTTAACAAAAGCAATCACAATTTCCTCCTGTATTTGGACCCAGTAACCATATAGCTCACTACAAAAGAATTTTTCTGCCATCAAGTAACAGTTCATGTTCCTTCAGGATCCAAAGTAGAACTGCAAGTCTTACTTGCAAATGAAACCAGTGTTTTTCAGACTCAGTTGTAAGGTGAATTTTTACTTTTTCCTATCTCAGATTATTACCAAAACAGGTAAATATTTAGCAAACAGACATGCATGTGTAAATATGAGATGTTAACAGCTCAAGTGATACAGTACTTGAATTCCCAAAGACCACATCCCATGGAGAGCTGATAGGCTGTTCTTCTCCTTTTGCTCCACCTTCCTTATCGACACCTTGTATCCCAATGCCTGCTACAGTGGTCACCATCTCTAACTCCAGGTCAATCTACAAGGAACAAAATTACACACACTGAATGTACAAAATTAACTTGACAGAAGTTACAATTTGAGCTAGATGTCAAAACCAGAGATTTTGCTGACAAATAAAAAAAAATCCTAACAAATGTAGGAAGATAATGAATTTTACCACAATGCTAGCTGATGGGGGCAGGAAGCAGCAGGAAAACCATAAGCCTGGAATTCTCTTCAACAAAAATTAACACTGTTTTGTCAAGGTTTGCCCTGCAGTTGCAGAAGCAAGCACCAAAATTTTCTAAAGAAATACTCAGACGATGGATGTGGATGTTTTACTTTAAACTTCTATAGGACTATGACACAGAAATTCAGATACTGTAACAGCATCTGCTATCTCATTTAATTTGTACAAAGCAAATTATTTTTACAGTTCATTTCATGCCTTAGGGGAAAAAAGAAGATTTAATTCCTGCAGCTTAAATCCCTTTATTTTTCTTTCCCTTTTGCTTATTTTCGAAGTGACTTCCAATAGTGCTCATGCATTTATCATGATGATCATGTAAAAAGGGAGTCTTTCACACACAGAATCTTCTAACTTTTGTAGCAGTAAATGCACTTTTTGCAAGGCCCATGGCTTGCACAAGCATTTGAATGCATGGCCTATTGCTGTTTATTCTATTAAGTCCCGGATACCCTCATGGAACATTTAGATGAAAGGGAAAAGCTAATTATCACCAAAAATGCGGATGCGGTATGATACTGATCTTCAGATGGTTCTGTGCTGTCTTTGCTACCTGCAACAGTTCATATCCTGTAGTCACCATGCTACAGTGATGAGTGTCTGTAAGATGAGGACCCTGGAGCAAACTGCTCATTTTTAATACACAATGTTTCTCTAGCAACTGGGAGCCTTGGTCATTTTCAGAATAAAACCTGGTAGCCAACTCCAATGAATACTTTACAGGGAGCTAGTGGACACGTGCTTTGGAAGTGAAACACACAATGAGCCCACTTAACAGTACAAAGGCACTTCAAACTGAGTAAGGATGTACCTCCTCTGATCATTATCAGACACATTAGTGAGGATCCGAGCAGAAGATCTTCTGAGATGAATAAAATACTTTTAATAATAAGGTAATATTACATTGCTTCAACAAATTTAACTTCTTATTACTCTAAAATTGACCTAACCAAATGTAATATCCAATGACTATATACAGAAAGTATCATTCCTACATCCTAAATCAAGCTAAAATAAGTGTTTAATAAAACAAAAATTCCACATGCAGACAATTCTGGTATTACAGCAGTTACCTGTATGTACTTTAGAGACCCAAACAGCTAATTGAAGTTTAGATACTCAGTGAACCACAGTAGTACAATAACTTTAGATAAGAATCAGATACTACTGGAAGTGAAATAAAAACTATTTTGTTGTAGTACTAAGAATAGATGTTTCTCGTAACAGGAAAGTAAGAGTCACTAGGAAAAACAAAATCAAATATGTTGCAGCAAGTAATGTATACCATCTTCATTTGGAAGGAAGCACAAAAGTATATGTAGCCTTTAAACAACAAACTGCACAGCAGCATTTATTTATAAGATACTGTGCTGAATTTCCTTCCCAATGTTGAGGGAATTCAAAGAGTAAATAATCAGAGTAAGTAACTTAGTGTAAATATTCACCTCTGTAAGTAGAATAAGGGATGAGAGATTAAATTTTGAATTTCCTTGCAGAAAATTTACCTTTCTAATGAGGTGATTTTCTGTATCAGCTACATAAATAATATCTTTTTTTATAGCAATCCCTTGTGGCGAGTTGAAAGCTGCCTCTGAAAATCTTCCATCTCTTCTTCCACTGTTTGGACCTATAAATGAAATAAAGCAAACTCAAACGTAATTTTATAAAAAATAAACCAAAACAACCAACCAACCAAACCCAAAGTTTATACATTTAAACTTGTAAAAAAATTACACATTCTAAGAGGTGCTTTCACAGCATCATGTACAGTTCACATTACTCGCCCACTGCAGGAGAGGATCAGGTTTGAGATAATCTTAGGAACCTGAATGTGCACAAGCCCATGGGACCTGATGAAATCCATCCAGGGGTCCTGAAGGAGCTGGCAAATGAAGTTGCAAAGCGCTGGCCATCATATTTGAAAAATCATGGCAGTCAGGTGAAGTTCCCAATGACTGGAAAAAGGGAAATATAACCCCCATTTTCAAGAAGGGGAAAATGGATGACCCAGGGAATTACAGACCAGTCAGTCTCACCTCTGTGCCTGGCAAAATCTTGGAGGAGATTCTCCTGGAAGGCATGCTAAGGCACAACAAAAACAGCAAGGTGCTTGGTGACAGCCAGCATGGCTTCACTAAGGGGAAATCCTGCCTGACCAATTTAGTGGCCTTCTATGATGGGGCTACAGAACTGATGGACAGGGGTAGAGCAGCTGATGTCATCTACCTGGACTTGTGTAAAGCGTTTGACACTGCCCCACACAACATCCTTGTCTATAAATTGGAGAGACATCAATTTGATGGATGGGCCACTCGGTGGATAAAGAACTGGCTGGATGGCTGCACGCAAAGAGTTGTGGTCAATGGCTCAATGTCCGGCTGGAGACCAGTAACGAGTGGTGTCCCTCAGGGATCAGTGTTGGGACCGATCTTGCTCAATATCTTTGTCAGCAACACGGACAGTGGGATTGAGTGCGCCCTCAGTAAGTTGACACCAAGCTGTGTGGAGCAGTTCATGTGCCGGGGGAAGGAATGCCATCCAGAGGGACCTTGATATGCTTGTGAGTTGGGCCGATGCCAACCTCATGAAGTTTAACCAAGCCAAGTGCAAGGTCCTGCACCTGGTTCAGGGCAATCCCAGGCACAGCTACAGGTTGGGTGGAGAAGAGATTCAGAGCAGCCCTGCAGAGAAGGACTTGGGGGTGTTGGTTGATGAGAAAATGAACATCAGCTGGCTTCAGTGTGTGCTCACATCCCAGAAAGCCAACCATATCCTGGGCTGCATCAAAAGAGCATGACCAAAAGGAGCCAAAAGAGAAGTCTTGAGAGGGGTTTAAGTTGTTTCTGTTCTCTTGCACTAAAGGATAATAGCAACAACACAAGACAGAAGAACTACCTCTTTTTTCATTCCCAACTACATCAAATCAAGTCAGCAGGGAAAACTTTAATTTCCCAAACTCAACTCATTTTCAGTGGTTTAGATTTTGGTGTTATCATAAATGAAACTAATATTTGATTAGCAGCATTTTCTCATTAGCAACAATTAGGAAAAAGATACGATGGAACAGACTACATAAAAGAATAGTAAGAATGATGGAGTGACAGTGTTCTACACAGAACCATCAAGAAATAGTAAGGACCTTGACCTGAATATAACAGTATGAAGTTAAGCACTGTGTATCAGCGGGAGTAACACCTAAAGTGCATTAGCAGTATGTCTCAGCAGAAGACATTTAGGTATTGAGTTATGTGTGCATCATGATTTATGATGCAAATATACTAATTTCAACCTTTGTGCTTGCCCACATTTGTTACTGTATTATCAACTTTGTTACATTATTTTCTGCCCACTGAATCATTTAACTGAGTCACTGAAATAAACTTCCAGAACCTACTGTCAGAAGACCTTAACAGACACAAAGGACTGAGGTACTGGTGTGGTCAGATTCCAGCAGTTCCTCTTCTAAGTGTCAGGGTGCACACCCCCAGGGAAGGGAAAAGTACAGAGTGCCACATGAAGCGGGGGTACCAGTTCAGAGGTTAGGATGCTTCCCTCTGAACTGCTATTTCATGACTATCCCAGAACACTAAATGGTAGCTTGTTGCTGGAGACTTATCTCACATATGAAACAGAAACCAAATTCTCTCACTTTTGTCATAGAAATCCTGTTGGTACTTCCCATAGGAGAAGGGTATTAAGACTAACGCCTTTATCAGGTTAACTTGGGTAACTCCTCTGCTTATCCAATACACTGTTACTTCAAATAGCAAGAGATTTTATTCCTTTCTTTAAGCAGCAGTGCCACTGGTTATTTTTATGAGTTTTTCAGTATGCTGCCACAGAACAGGCATTAGTCAATACCAGACTCAGTAATATAAGACCTATCAGATCCTGATTCTGAGACATAAATGAATCACTGTTGTCAATTATCTGGGGATTCAACCACTTCCTACATTTGTCTGTTATGGTTGTTCATAACTGGACTGTCCTGACAGCTATGTACTTGGTGCATTAAGATGTAACTTCTACCACTGTAATAGATTCTGAAAAGGAACAAATCTGAATGTTTCATTTCTGAAAGAGTAAAGCGTACGAAGAATGTAAAGTAGATAGTAATATTATAAAATCAGTTAAAGAGATTAAGTTTTTAAAGCTGAAATGTTACCAATATAAACTTGGTAACAAATGTAGCTAAATGTAAATACTTCCACTATTTTCATACTTGTTTCTATGTTACACCTCAGTTTTGGTGACAACACAGGTCTTGTCACATACGCTAAAGCAACTTCATTTTCAGGTGCCTATGTATTAGCGCAGTGTCACTGCCCTTAGTAATTCTCCCTTCCTCCAAAATCCTATACAGGAATGCTCTTCATTTAAAGAAAAACAATCAACCTAAAAACACACACCAAAAACTTCCCCACACACCACCACCACCACAACTGAGCATTCATGTCCTCTACTGGAAAGGGACACATTTCTCTTTTCCCTACCTTGCTGCTGGTTGTGGATGTATGTCACTCTAAACCCACCTGCAACACTTTCATAAGAATACAAAATGTATTTTTTGTAATTCATATTATGCTATATATGTAATTATACTAGTAGGCCCAGCAAACATCCTCTACTCCTAAACTAAAATTACTGTGAGAAACGTATACACCCTTACCTCCAATAGTGTGTAGAATTTGTCCATTTTTTCGAGTAACCAATATCCTATGATGTCCAGTATCTGCTATGACCAGCCTTTCTCCCGAATGATCCACGGTCACTTTGCCAGGAAACAGCAGGGGAGAAGGTGGGAGTGAGTCTCTATATAGCTTTATTCCAATCTTGTTATCTTTGATTTGTCTTCTTTCCTTGTAGAATTTCAGTGTTACAGAAGTAAATAAAAACAATTTCTCTCTGTGTCCCTCTCCAACAAGTGAAAAGAGCATATTTCCACGAGGTCCCAAAATAACCAGAGTTGGCCAGCAGGACACTTCAAGTTCATGCCACAGGGTTGCATCTGCATCATTTACTACAGGGTGGACAATATTGTACCTCAGAATGGCACTTTTAATGTTATCCAGAACTTTTTCATTTGGGAATTTTGCCGAATGGACTCCAACAATAATAAGACCATCTGAAAGGAAAAATAAAGTCGTGCACTGAAACATAGAATCATAGAATCATAGAATCGTTAAGGTTGGAAAGGACCTTAAGATCATCTAGTTCCAACCCCCCTGCCGTGGGCAGGGACACCTTACGCTAAATCGTATCACCCAAGGCCTCGTCCAACCTGGTCTTGAACACTGCCAGGGATGGTGCATTCACAACATATTTGTAGTTGAATAAAAAGTAAAACTGAAGCACAGTTATCTCACAATGTGACTGATTGCTTTCCAGAATAAAAGGGTTTGAACAAACAAAAAGCAATTACATCTCAGTAGGACTATAAATAGCTGTGTAGACAAAATACTGAAACTCAGAAATAACATCTCAGTAAAATGACTGAACTTTAGGACCATTACTTCCCCAGCTGGTTGACATTTAATGTCAGAAATTGTTCTTAGTTCTGAACCTCTACTTACTAAGATAGAAAATACTTTCAAAATAATTATGAGAAGGTTGTAGCAGTTAACTGATACTTTGGGGTTTTTCAGACGTTTATGACATCTCTTTGCCTTTCGATGCCTATATACAACTACGGTGTTTTAGAAAACGAATTCTTTTCCACAGTTAACTAGGAATCACAAATGTAACACTGAACTCTGAAGCCCAGAGTTACCCTGGTGTATCTAACTCAAACAATAACAAAAATGCATAGGCTTCTGAAAGCATATTTTCCATTTCAAATAGCAGCATTGACAGCTGTGACAAAATGATAAATAGCACTTGGTAGAAACCTGGAAGGCCTGAATCTTTTCCTTTAAAACACAATTAAAAAAGCAGCAAAAGAGGATTAAATCATTGACTTTTGCACCTCCCCTTAAAATGTTTAACTTACTTCTGTATGTGGTTAATAAAGACAATGAAGAGTTTAGATTTTCCAGTATCAGGGTAACAGCACTTAAAAACCTGGTATGAAGGCGTTCCATACGCATGAAGTAATGTAAGTCTGCTTCTATACACTGCATACATATTAGCAATCCTTTGCTTATTTTCTTAATTTTATGAAATTTGAACACAGAAATAAAAATCTATGGCTCAGACTTGAGCTGCTTTTCCCTTGTAATGAGAAATAAATCTGCTTCCACCCCAATGTAAACCATTATGTAAGCAGCCCCAGATTTTCCACTCCCCCTTCCTACCCAACAGAAAAAGAATTAAGAGCCTTTCTTCAGTCACAAGACATTTTTCAGTACTTTCTAGGAGCTAAAAAAGAGGAAAATAAACAAAACCAAAATCCACTACAACCTTTTTCAGGGCTTTAAATTATGTTTTACTAGCATAATCTCCACCAAATGAAGTAAACTGTGCATATGACATCAATACCATACTTTCTCACTTTGTACTTGAAGAACACTACTAGCTGTAAGCATAGTTATAGTAGAAGTAACTTGTCAATTCTACCTGAACTAAGAATTTACCTTCTCAGTAAGGAAAGTAACAATAGTAACCATGAAGTTGTAGAAAGATGCAGTACAATCATTTTAAACCAGAACTGTCAATCTAGTGGAAACGCTTAGACATTAACCTTACTACTTATCCAAATATTACTCATGTTTCTGGAAAATGCAAGCATTTTGTAACCACAAATAACAATTGGCATATTTCTATTTCTTTGTGCAAGTAAAAGTTTCAAATTTTCATGTGATCTTTTTTGTTATTTGGAGGAGAGGATTGAAATTAAATGGGAAGGGAAAATGTCCCTAGAGTTGATACCCAAATTGAGTTATATTTTACCATAGTGCAAGAAATTGTATAGTCTATAACATCATTTAGCACTTGTAAACACTTTTATCAGTACCATTCAAGTATCTGTGGTGTTTCCTTCCTTCACACAGTCACAAATGTCTATAGGTGGATTCCTTACAGTACTGCATTTTTCAGTCATACAAGGAATTCCAGAAAACAAAGACTTGGAGTCCATACAAAGTGGCATGGAGGAGGAACAGCCATTATCCAATCTGATCCAATTCTCATGATGCTTATACTCTGAAATATGACTGTAGAACCTTGAAGAACTTCATAAGGTTCTTAGACTAATTTGTGCTCATACACATACTCACTGCAATTGAAAATGTTGTATTGTGCTACAACAGACAAAATAGATTTGGCTGAACAGCTATTACATTTAGATAAGCAGGATACAATTCGGTTATAACGGATAAAGGCAGATACGCAATGCGCATCTCTAAGTAAGCAAGTTCTGTCACTTTGTGCTTACTCTAATATTGTTATATTTATCCTGAACAGCAGCCAACAGAAACAGCCTTCCTGAAAGGACACTCATCTGTAGAAGACTAGTTTTAAAATAAATGTTTTCTCAGAAAGGTTTTAAGAAGACTTGGGAGTAAGTTTCAGTTACCTGAATTTTTAGAAGGCAACTTTTCTCTCATTCAAATATAACCATTTCTTACAACAGGAAAATAGTCAAACCAGAACACAAACTGAGTATTTGCAATCACCTTGCTAACACATTTATTTCGCATCTTCTAGCTTCATACAGTTCCTAGCATATTACCCCTCCTTCCCAGTTTTCATCTCTTCATTCTTCCAGTTGCAACTGTAGATACCAAAATCTAGTAATCAGTGCTCTCAGAACGAAAGCCACACACAAACTTTTTGAGCTTGCATAATTCAACTTTCTCCTTATCAAATAATTTTATTTATTTAGCATTCTAGCATTTTAATTTTTAATCCATCAGAAGTGTGCTTTTCTTTCTGCAATAACTCACCTATCTAATACATTTTATTCATTTGGCATCAACTGTTATGTGTCGCACACGTCATTCTAAACTGGAAATTTACGTATCAGATCACTACTGTTATTTGGCATTTACTGCCTGATCCATTAAAGGGCTTCACTGTTTAGAAAACTTCAAGCAAATACGTCAAAATAAAATGCTTTTGTAAAACAGTCCTCTAAAAGCTCTGCAATTAAGACTGAGTTTGCCACTGCAAGAATAGTGAAACCAGTCCTGTGACCAGAGAGTGCCCGAACCAGGGCCCAAAAACTTACAATTGCAAATAATTGCATCCACGGACATGGTTTGGAACAGAATGTTGTATTTACCTTTATGCTTGTCTCCTATCTTTAAAGTAGAGGTGCAATCTGGCTAGCTGGACATCTCTGTTCTACCCTCAGCTCTGCTTTTGTGTCAGAAATGGAAGACAGGCAATTATTACAGGTCTTAAACAGTTGTATTATTTAAGCTCAGATGAGTTTGTTTCCTTCCAGAAAACCTAATTTAATCTCAAGTTGGCTTTTTATTCAGTTACAAAGAAATGGAAAATTATTTTTCTCTTTTAGCTCTTCTCCCCAACCATAAAACAGTGTTAATGGAGAAGAACATAAACTTCAATGTGACAATAGAAAAGGATAAAGTGCTGCACAATAAAAGACTTAACTGAATATAAGAATTTCACAGATATAGAATTATAAGACCATTATGTAGTCTTTATCAATCCTATATGCACAGCATGTTGCAGTATCAGATAGATGAAGTTATAGTATCATGAACTGCTGTACTTCAAAGAGCAGGTCAAATATTTAAACTGTAACAGGATCAGCAGCGGCATTTGTATTTGTCCTTCAACAACACCATTAAAACTAGAAAGGGAATTCTATACCAAACACCTGAACAGGACAAACAAGTTATAACATCCTCTACTGAAGAAAGCTCTTCTGGAAACTGATGGATGATAGGCTGAGATGCAAGAATATGCACACCATTTCAATCACTTTATTCAAAGGATTATAACAGAGCACAACACTGGATTTAGGCCAAGCTATTTCTGAATATTAAAAAGTACTCCCTCTTATAGAAGTCATTTCTGGACTGCTGATAACATGAACTGAATATGCACTGGAGTTTAAAATAACTTCCTGAATGCCACTTGAAAAACAAGAATAGCACCACTGAAGATAGCAGCGAGAACATATCTGATAAAGATGCTAGGTGACATTTAATCCTATGGAAAGCAGTCTTCATTTTGAAGCAATCTCCTGAAGTTCCAGACAACAGAACTATGTGCATATGTACAATGACATATATATATATACACACACATATATATATATAATGGTTTAGGATCACCCTAAAAATAGAGCTTGTGTTCAGACTTCTCATGTCTGATGATCACACTTGAAATGTCAACATATTCCACATAAGAGGGTATTTGAACAGCATGAAAAACAATGTAATCAGAGTATCAGAAATGAACATACACAATGTACAATCAAAAAATTATATTACATCAGTATTGAGGTTTGTTCTTAGTTATGCAGCAAATAAAGGCAACATTCCTTTAGATAGTCAAACAGGCCAAATGCATTATGAGATAGATGCTTTGTCAGATGCTTGTTTTCATTCTGACTAACATTGTGTGATAGGTCAGAACCCACTGCCACTTCTATAGCATGGTAAATATATACATGAAATGGGTAAATAAATGCCATATTTACAGGTCTGAAGTTCAGGAAAGCTGCAGTTTCACTATATATTTCATTGACTCGCTGCTTCCAAAATAAATCATCTTTTGATGAGCCAAAATCAGTTTTTTTTATTATCACAAAAAGGTGGTTAAGATTTCGGAACTAACCCAACCAAAAGTGAAGGGACTTCCATTAAATAAAGAACAGAATAAAATAGAATGAAACTCCAGAATAAGGCTGAAGACATTCTTAAAATACTTCCTGTTATGTGCAATATCCTCTCTACTTTTGTTTTATTCTTCCAACTTTCATCTTTCTCGAGTTTCTCAAGCCAACAACTCTTCACTCCTTTCTCCTAGTAACTGGCAAATGATGTTTACCTTTGGTGTAGAAAATGCATGTTAATATAATACCATCTGCTGAAGTATTTTCCTATTGCTTAAAACCCCACAACTCTTACTACATTGATGTATTTACGCATATTACTGTAATGTTAAAATTCACATACTTAGCACAGCAAAGAAAGACTAAATAATCCTGAAATTGCTGAGAATCAAAACATGAAAAGAGCAGAAAACAATCAAAAGGGAGATCTATAGTGAAAAAAAAACAATGTACCTTTCTTTTTGTTTTAACCTTCAAGCACCTTAATCTCTTCCTGAATCCAACTACTATCCTCTGTTTCCTAATGGATTAAATTAAAGATTAATGTTCCACACACCTGCTCTTCTTTCCTATTACCTCCACCTTCATCCCAAGTATCTTTTTTTTCTCACTCTGGTTCCTGTAGGAACAGGATAGCTCAAATGCAAGAAGAATTTATCACCTATCAGCAAAGTACTTTCCTCAAGTAATAACTCCTGTGACAGGAAGTTTAATACAAGTCAAACAAAAAAAAATTGTGTCTCCAAGTGGAGCTTCAGTTTAGTTCAGAGTGCCACAGCCTCTTCTGCACCAGGAAAGAGATGCTCAAACACTTTAAAGAGAAAGCTTGTGGGGACAGGTTGTTATGAGTATTTTGTTATCAACTGATTTAAAAAAACAGGTTAAGGATATGACAGCTATACTAATACAGTAACACTATGCTACAAATTGTTTGTAATTTAATGATATTCTTTATTATGTGATCAATATCATCTTCTGAAATCTACACCTTCTTCCCAGCACGGCTGGTATCCACTGCAGTCTATTTATAATTTGGTAATCACCTTCTACTTAAAAATGCCTCCCTCCCAAAAAAATGCCATGAGTTTTCCTTATTAAAGTTTCGTATATCTGAAACATTATACCTGATCTCCAGTTTCTCCAAAGCAAACAGCTAAGCTTTCCAAGGCAGAAAATTTAGTTTGAGTCTTCTGTCAAGCACTATGTAATCCTACAGCACATAAGTGAACTACTTAAAGAACTTGAAATTTCAAAGACATTTTAATTTCTTTTTCTAGTGAAAGAAGGCAGCAATAATAAATGCTGCCAAAATTAAAACCAATCAGAAACACCAATGGAGGATCAGAAATTTAACTGCATATATATGTTATATTTAATACAGTATTTTTAGTCTGAAAGCAACACTGTTCATCTCACTGTTCAGTCTATTAAAATATCCAAGATAAGCAAGCAGCTGACACATTCTGTGTAAGACCACAGCTTATCTCTGTCAAGTCATCATGATGACAACAGACTGCATTCTAATTACCCTATATTTTTATTCACTCAAAGAGAGAGATAAGATTTCATTTCAGATGTGACTTTCGAAAGCTTAATTCCCTCTCCAGAACACAGGACTACTAATAATACATAACTTGATGCCAATGCAAAAAAACCTCTTTCTAAACCAAGCTTACATATTTTGTTATTTCAGTTAGAATGGAAAAAACCTCTAAGTGATCTTAACTGCATCCATTCTGCCATCTATATTCTTCTCAGAGTTAGTCCTTAAGTCAAGTGCAGAGGGTTATATACTCGTATTAACTTTGAACCCACATCTTACATCCTTGTGTAGCTTTTTGAGAATAGCCTTATTTATGAGGATATCAGATTTGGGGGTTGAGCACATATCCTGTTTCTTTAATTATACAGACACAACAGATACCTTATTTAACCCCATTTAAAAATGTAATAGGAGTACACACAGTCACCTTTTTTAGGCTACTTAAAAGATTAGAAGACATTTTTAGGCACCCCTGAAATTTTGCCAGCTGTTCAGTAACCAGCAACAAAGTGACTCAGCTACTCCACCGTCAACAGTGCCAGGAAATTCTATTCCAAGCAAGCCAAAGCACTTTTACCTTTATCAGAGAACTGGTGCTCTAATGCGTGGAGATCGGGCAGCAGGTGCAAGCAGTTGATGCAGCAATAAGTAAAGAAATCCAACACCACAACTTTTCCACAAAGGTCTTTGTGAAGAGAAATAGGACCTTCAGTATTTAACCATTGTAGATCTGGAATTCAGGGAACAGTGATAGCCAGTTAGGGGAAGGGTAGGGAAAGGCAGACAATTATAGCGAATTTGCACACCACCACACAACATTCCTGGTGCACTTAACCTTAGAGAAATGAAAAAGTTCAACATCCCTTTCTGCACAGGTAGAAAAGCAAACCAAAGGTCCTATATATTTATCCAACTCATCTGTATGTTCCATGATTCTTCATAGAGTAGTTTGAGCTGGAAAGGACCTTAAGCTCAACCAGTTCCAACCCCCTGCCACGGGCAGGGATACCTTCCACTAGACCAGGTTGCTCCAAGCCTCATGAACACTGCCAGGGATGGGGCAGCCACACCTTCTCTGGGCAACCTGTGACAGTGTCTCACCACCCTCATAGTGAAGAATTAGAAGTTTTACTATTAATGAGATTTAATGTAATACATTAAATGTATTAAATGTATAAAATTAATGTAATTAATGAAAGTGCAGTGTATATATTTTAATAGATACCTTTAAAGTGAAAGAACATGCAAGCCTCAGAACCATTTTTATATATTTAAAAACATGATCTATTTTATTTAACCCCTAATAATGTCATATGGGTAACAATTATTTAAAACCCACATAAATGGTAGTAAACTGAAGAACTATTAAACTCTTAGTTATTTTCCAACATGTTTGTAAAGGACTCCAAAAAGAGATGACTGAAATATTTTTGTGGTTACAGTTTTGATCTTGATTTTCAAAGTCTGAGGTGACAGGTATAAATGAATCCCTTTACATGGGAAGAAATACAGCCTTTTCAGATACACCTGGCAGCAATCTGGATCATTTATTTTAACCACTTGATCTGAAGCATGAAACCATTCTTTTCTCACAGGTAACTGCTATTACTCTGATCGCATTAGAAACTGATCTCAACCAAAGAAATAAATATCCTGTAATACAGTCTGCCATTTTTATCACTTAACACTTCTGAAAATAAAGGGCATAGGGAAAGACAGATGTGATGTAAGCCAAAGCTGAACTAAATTTCTGAAGGCCTATTTAAAAAAAATGTATGCTGGCTAATCTAAAAACCCTCAAAACTTTCACTCTGACAGTTTCAGCACATGAAGTTCTTACTGTCCCAGGAGAGGTTATTGCTGATGAAGCCAGCAGGAGGCTTGTTTTCAGTTTCACTAGGAGGAGGATTGAGCTCTATCTCCGTATGTTTATAAACAGAAACGGATGCACACACTTTCAGATTTAGTGGCTGTAACAATTAGAAATTATATGCATTACTTCCACAGTATTAGGGTTCTGCTGCTTACATTTTAAAAGAGTGGGGTATTTATTTTCTGGCATTGTTCCTCTTTTCACTAAAATTAAAATACCTTTCATGAAATATACTGAAAGTAAAAAGCATCGACTACCTATGTGAGCTCTTTTCAGAGAAGAAAATAAGCTTTGGCAGAACACAGAAAGTGAAAGAGTGCAAAATACAAAAGTGAAAATTCAACTCGGAGGTCCAAATCTAGACAGAAAGCATTCATTTTGCTCTAATGTTTACAAGTCAGAATTTGTTCCCATGACACAAGCTTACCCTCTGAGATCTATGCTTTGCAGACAGATGTGAGCAGAGCTGCAGAGAGCCTCACTGAGGTTAAAAGAACCTGAGGAGGACTTGCAAGATCTTACAAGACTTAACCTCTGATTTCATATTTAGCAGAAGAAAAGATACAGAAATGTGTGAAAGGGAAATGGGCACAACAGTGAAGGATGACATCTCAAGAACAGTTTGTGTTAACAGGGACACAAAACCTGACAAGCACAGGTAAGTCATGGGGAGAGAGAGCTGGGAAAACCAACTGGCTGCAGTGAGACCAAGGGAACTCGGGATAAGGCTGTGAGAGTTGATAAGGTTCTTGCTATGACCAGAGAAGACAGATATCAACATACTGTCCAGAAGGCTTTATTAAAAAAGAAAAAGGAATGTAAATTAACGAAACTAGCAGAGGTTTAGAAGAGAGACTTTAAAGAACAGGTTTTTGCAACCAGTAACAGGGGGAGCATGTATAAAGGGATTCTTTTTTCTCGTTCTTTGCTTCTGGTGCTTTCAGGAGTGACATTTCCTGTAACCAGAAGTGCCTTAAAAAAAAAAAAAAACAAAGTGGCTAACGGGGCCGTAATTAAACGGCCCTCACAAGCAGCGGGACTTGACAGAAAACGGCCACACGGTGAGCACCAGAACTCAGCCACCTCTGCTGAGGGGCCCTGCAGCCGAACCGCGCTCCGCCGCGGGGCCTGCCCTGCCACCCACCTCCGCCGAGCTCGGGCACCGTCAGGTCCCGCTCCCGGCTGTCCATCTTCTTCAGGTACTGGTAGACCAAGTTTTCCTTCTCCTGGGAAGTGTCGGCGTCCAGCAGGGCGTACTCCAGTTGGGTCTGGGCGGGCAAAAGCCCCGCCAGCCCCTCCGCCGCCATGACAGCTTCTGGGCGAGCCCAGACCGGTCGCTGTTTACCAGCCTGCTACTTCACCGCCGCATATTCGTCACGTCTCTCAAAGCCAGAGACGGAAGTTGTAAATAATAATAATAATACAATAATAAAACCTAAGCACAAACAAGCAATACCTCGTTTATTAAAGTGGGACCTTCTCATTCATGGCGTGTTCTTACATAGCTTTGATGTTCACAGAAGCATATTCGTGAAGAGAATCCCCAGCGGTGATTCCAGCTCCGCAGATTCCACACAGCCCGCGTTTCCCGCCCTGTTCCTTTTTTTATTTGTAAGTGGAATAGCTATGAAGACAGAGGAATATCGCGACAAATTCCAAGCAAGGCACCAATAATTTAAATTGTGGGATTTTTTTTTTTAGGGGGAGGTTATTATGAAATATGAGGAAGGCTGAGCGACAGCACCCGTGACGAAGCTGCGGAAGCGAATGTGTTGCCGCGGCGGGAAGGGTTGAGAAGGTGCGGCCGCCCGCGATCCCGGTAGCGGCGGGAAGCTGAGGGGAGGCGGCGGGAGGCGGCAGCTGCCCTAGGTACCCACGGGAGACTCCGGGCAGGCGGCAGCCACCCGCGGTGGGACCTCAGTGCAGGAGGGGAGCGCAGCCCGACCGGCAGGTGGTGTTGGCCTTCTCCGTCCTGTGACTCCCGACAGCGATCCTGCAGCTGAACGCTTTGTCGTTTCCGTTTAAAATCACCCCTCTTCGGGGCAGCGAGGTGGCACTCGGGGAGCGGGTCTGGAGGGGCTTCACCTTCCTAGGGCCGGGCCTGGCTGGGCGCTTACGTGGGGGACGCTGAGGAAAATGGCTCACCCTGCGAATCGTGCTGTATCTTATTTAAGCTTCTGTTTAAAAGGAGTAATTTCAAGTACTCAAAGAGACGCTCATTAAATGATTTTTAAGATTCGCCATGCTTCAGTCCCATCGCGGACTGCTGTGTGGTTTGTTTCGTTTTCAAAATGAATTTAGGTGCTTTTCTTAAGATAGTGAAGAGGGGACAGAAGAGAAAACATATTAGTGGAGGGAATGGTACATTTGTGAACTGTTGCTTAAAAGAAAGGAAAATAATTCCTGTGTTGCCATGTCTGATGATACCTCATTGGAAGCAGACATTTGGGACTACAAATCCATTAGGAAGGAAAAGCATCCGAGTAATGCAGAAAGCATCTCTACACCTGTGCAGACAGTAAGTGATGGCAAGTGCAGGCCAAAAAGGAAAACAAATAGAAAAAGAAAAAAGACTGTAGAAAAAACTGATACCCTTCAGAAGACCGAGCAGGTATCAAGGCCAAATGAGGATGCAGATCCATGTAAAGATGACAGTAGTGTGCACTCCCAGGAAAGCACGAGCAGCCTCACAGACCACAGCTCACAAAATGCAAAGCCTGTTTATGATGGATACTGCCCAAGCTGCCAGATGCCTTTTTCTTTGCTATTGGTCCAGACACCTCGATGGCACGTTGCTGAGTGTTTGGATACTCCAGGATCCAATGAAAAAGGTATGCACAGAGTAAGAAAAAAGCTTCAGGGAAAAGTTAAAAGGCTTCTCACATAATGTTGCTGTAAAACTTGGGTTTGTATATTTAGTTCAAAGTCTGAGAGGGTTGTTGGTATGGTGTTCAGAATGTGTTACTGATCATTTATCAGTACTTTTTTTGCATGAGATTCTCTGTTGTTTGTGAAGAACATGGAAGTCAGACATGAATATTTCACATCATAACCTAATCTCTGTAGAGTAGTGACAAAGATGGTTGTTCAGCAAGCTCAGGTTTGAATAGTTTATGTAAGAAATTGAAGGTGCATACCATTTCAATTACTAAGTCAGTGCCAGCAAAACCTTCAGTTAAGAGGGTTCTACTTCTCCCTGTGAATTTCTTTCTTTTTAGGTATAAATCTTATTATCCTCTGTCCATGTTGCTGTATAATTTGTCCAGTTGTGTATGGATGGTTGGAAGCTGAAACCTGTCTGTTATGCTAATTTACTGGTCTATTTACCAGTATATTGCTAAAATACATATTTTAGTATATTTTAGAAATTTTATACAGAATTATACATGATCATTCCTGTATCATATGACAACACAATTTTGTTCTGAGTTCTGTTCAAGAGGAATAAAACTGATGCATTCCAGTTGCTAGTTTCCTGTGGGGAAATATCAGGTCCAAACAGATACAGGTATCCAATTTAAGTGTAGATGAGGCCCTCAATGATACGGTTAAGTAGTGGTGTTGGTAGTCTCTGGGGTAAATGGTTGGAGTTAATGATCTTAAAGGTCTTTTCCAACCTGTTTGATTTATATGATTCTATGTTCTTAGCAACCTTGTAGCTTTTGAAACAGCATCCAGCCTGGAAACTTGAGTAAGGGCTCTTTTAGGTAACAGAATAACCTTGCTTTTTATATCTTCGTAAATTTCATTGAAGTTTCTTCAAGAATGAAGAGAACTTAAATTCACTTCAGTGTGAGAACTTTAATCCCGATTTTGGCAGCAGTTTAAGATAAGGCAGATGGTTAACACCTCTTTTCCATCTCTTACTCCCATAATTAACAGATGAAAAATCCCTCTGATTGATTGACATATTCACCTTAAAATCCTCTCACAATAGGCCAGCAAACTCTCAACATAAAAGGCCTAGGGAATAGCAACAGATATTTTGCTGAATACTTTTTTCACTGAAGTAAAACCATGAGCTTTTTTTTTTTTTCTTTAATGTGTGAACCAGCAGGCAATTTGAAATTGAATTTCAGGCTGACTCAGGACCAAGATTTGGTTTATTTTGAAACATGTCTACTGGCCTTTTCTGGTGCTACTACTCTGAGCTTATTGCTTGCATATGGGACAATTCGAAACTAGAAGCCATATGATTACATTAGCACAATATTGAAACAGGGTTAGGTATTCATATTGTTAGAGGGCTGTATTAATTCAGGCGTAGTGCTGTATTAACAGCAGCTGTTTGGTTTTAGGTTGGAAGCATTCTCCCTTCTACCCAGCTCAGGGCAGGAGGTCATTACTTGTGCATTCTGTTCTCCTATAGCTGCATTTATAAGAATCAGCTTTAAAATTGTCTTGTGTGATTTTTATTTTAATAATTATGCCAACTATAGTTGCAAAGATACTAAAATTACTTCTCTGTGTAACTTTTTTCGTAGAGTGTCCTGATGGTTTACTGTGCAATTCCACCATTCCATCTCACTACAAGCGTTACAGCCATTTTCTACTTGCAGCAAGCAGGGCCGGAGATTATCTTGTAAACTCTTTGTCAGACACTTTGGAGAGGAAGATGACATGTTCTGCTGCTCCAAAGCTCAGCTGCTCCCCAGGTCAAGTAGAGCAAATCTCACAGAGTGAGAAACCGTCTAAGAACATGAAAAATACCCCAAATGATGACTGTACGTTGAGGGTTCAGAGTTCACCACAAATAAAGTCTCTAAATTTAATCAGTGAAAGTACTTCCTCTTTTGCACGTGTTCAGACCCCTCAAGAGACATTTCAGCATACAGAGACAACAGATAATAGTTGTGATTTTGAATTTTATGACTTTGTATCCGCTCAGGAAAGTGGAACAGGAGAGGATCTGTGTAGTGAGAAAGACACAAGTCAGCTCAGTTTACTACAATCAAAAGCAGACTTCAGTGAATGTGAAATTTCTTATTCTCCACTGAGCACTTTTGAGGAAAGTGAAGAGGAAACTGAGGAAGAGAAGGTGAAAATATCACAAAAGAAATTATTCAGAGATTGTAACTCTGAAGATGAAGACTGTAATTCTATGATGTTTAAAACATTTGATGGACTTCTCTTACAGCAGAAGCCTCAGTATGAGCATACCAAACCAAGACATTCTGTAATTAAAAACAAACGCTGTGAGGAAGTTAAGCCATTGGACCATCTAGATCATGGTGTAAAAACTGTTTCTCAGAGTCACAAGAACAGGAAGTTTTGTAATTCAACATGTGTAGATAATCAGCATCAGCAAGCGGCACTAGCCAGTGGATCCTCTTCTCCTTTTAACTGGGAGGAGTCTGAAGAGCCTGAATTGATTTCCTCTGCTGCTAAATCAGGTGATACAGAGTCAGAAGATACCGGTACTTGCGCTTTGGATTCTGCATACCTGAGTTTTACTGAAACGTCGCCACTGCTAGCCAGAGAAGGTGCTAGGTCTCTTCTGACTCAGAAGAGTAATGCTTTGAGGGAGTCAAGTAACATTTTAACTAATGCAGATAAAATGCCTTCCAATGCAGTTGAAAAAACCTCTTGCCAGGAGAGTTTGCAGTCAGTAGTGAAGAAGGAAAGAAACTTTAATACAGCTGCTGTGTGCTTTCCTAGCCCCAATTCTAAAACAGTAACATCTCTTTCTTTAGCAAGTACGAATGCCAAATCCAGTCCTGCCAAAGAACTCAAACAAATGGACATTGGTGTTTTTTTTGGGTTAAAACCCAAAGTAAAAGAGGAAAGCAAAGAAGAAATGTGTTTGAGTGAGGGAAAGCAGATACCAATTTCAGTAACTCCCAATGGAAAGAGGCCCAGACAGGCAAAAAGGAAAGCTGAAGGGTCTGTGGAAGATGTAGAAGCAGTTACTGGAAGTTCAACAACAAATGGAGCCTTTGCAGGTGTAAGTTCTGGTGGCCAGCAAAGGTGGAATAAAAAATTTAAAGTATTATCTACTGCAGGTGAAGAAACAAGAAAAAAGCACTGCCCTTTCTACAAGAAGATTCCAGGTGAGAGAGAGCTGTTGGTTTTTGTAGAGGTTAATTTTGGCTTGAGTGTTGAGTTGTTTTTTTTTCTAAATTTAGACTTCCATATTCTACACTCTTCATAACCATTTAGATTGCAACTCATAATGAACTTTCTTTCCTCCGAGTTGATAAAATCTGGCATAGGTACAGATCTCCAGAAGAAGGTGTTTGCAGTTAGCAGTGGCTGAAAACAGTGAAATAGTTATCTCACCAAAATGAGTTCAAGGATTGACTTCTGAATGTTTTTGCCATAGCAAAAAGCAGTTTGGAAAGATGGATCTACTTTCTTAAATAATTTTGAATATA